TTGCTTGTATTTCCTGTGGAGAAGTGCAGTAACTTGCAAAAAAAAGTCACCCTAATCCATAACTGGGGCTCTTAAACACTGCATTAATGCTAACAGTAAATCATAATAACTAATAAATAGTAGAATGAGGTCAGAATACATCTTTTTGGTTATATATTGATGAAGGAAGCTGTATTTCTTAGGTGTAAGAAAAAATATAATCAAGAAAATGGCTTTTAAAAACAGGATTTCATTTCATTGGATCAAGTTGAGATCAGAATCAGTGAACATGACTGTAAGGGCTGTGGAAACTTGTGAATTCCATATGACCTGCATATTTTTGAACAAACTTTAAAATTGCATGTCTGCAAATGCCAACTGCAAAGCAAAATAATTAAGTGATCTAGATAGTAAATATGCAAAGAAGGTAAATTGAGACACTGAATACACTATTTGCATTTTCTCAACAGAATTAATCTCTGGACACCCTCTGCCTTGACTCTGTACGCTCTCACTGAAGTGGAGGTCATGGCTAGTGACAACTGGGAGCTGCTCTTGGAGTCTCTGTTGCCTTTTTAGGTTATGAGGGTCTCTGTGTGTTTGGGATAATATGATTGACAGCTCCACTCCAGCCCCAATTAGCACCCTATAATTTATTAGCTTCTGCTTTCAGATTATGCGCTAACTTCACAAATATTTCAACCACGGAAACAGCAGGTATCGAGTGTCTCTTTCCTGATCCAGCTCACTGGGGCTGCAGTTAAATACAGGGAGAGAGCTGTGCAGGTCTGTCAAGAGAGAATAATCATTTGTGTCTATGTTGACTGGGGCTGTCACAGATCTTTAAAGCTTCATTGGTGGATGGAAAAAAAAAAGATGTATTCCTTTGCGGATAGTTCATGCTGTAGGGTGGGGTGCAGGGCTGAAAGCGAATTTGTCAGCTCTCCTAAAGAAACTAGTGTTTGTTTATCTCTGCTCCTTATATAAGTACCCATTATTTGATGGTATATAAGTAGCATCTGTATGTATGACTACATCACTCTTCAAGCTTCTGCGCCTCCTGACTGAAACATGAGGCAAATATGAAATTGTAAGGGGGAGAGGAGGATACACCTCAGGACATGGAGACCAGTGATGTGAGGTGGCAAAAAGACCACTTTTAAGTGCATCCCTTTGTTCCTTCTCCTCTCATGACTGTTGTATCTGACTCACTGACACATTCTAAAAGAAACACCCACATTTTGGGTGCATCTACAAGCTACGTGTTCATTAATGCACCATAGTTACTGTACATTAAGTTTAGTATTTGTATAACCAAGTACTAAATCAATGTGCAGTAACTGGCTCTACTGTGCAATAGTGCCAGTGCACAGCTTTTTAGTGATGCTAACTGTGGATTAGCCTAATACTACTGGGCATTAGCATATTAGCATGGTTTTTGTCCTGCATGTTAATACACAGTAGAATTAGGCTACTGCGCAGTTAGCATCTCGTGTAGATGCACCCCCTGAGTTGGTCTTGTTGTAAATGTGTATGCAAGGTGTTGTGTATGGTATGTGCTAAGGTAAAGATACAGATACAGGCACCTATCAGAGAGGGCAAAAACAGTCCCTACCACCTGAGACAAGTGGGCATAGAGTTTAGGCCACTTTGATTAATGCTGGGTGCAGATTCAGTTAAATCTAGCATGTTTGTAATGATGAATATGCCTAAGCCTCCTTCAGTTTCCCATGTCAGAATCTAGGGTGGATGTGATGTATAACATGCAGTCATACGGGTATGCAAGGCTACCATAGGTTTGCAGGCCAACTTCTAGATTTTTGGAAGATAAAATGTGGCTATTTTGCTGTCTGTGGAGAGTGGGACCTGGCTACTTTTCCACATAGCTAAAGCAAGTCCATATACAGTAATATGATGGATGGGCACACAAAATAGAACCCAGGGTGTGTTCAGATAGAGCAAGTTTAGACAGAACATATTATTCTGGCCAGAAACAAGTGTGCTATTTGGATCCTAAGTCCCCTCACCTCAAAGTGTAAGGGTGGTCAGAGGTGGGGTTTCAGCTCGTGGGTATCCATACCTTATCATTTGTCCATTTTTATTCCTTTTCTCCTTGCCAGAAAAATCAATAAACTGTGTAACCTAAACAAGGAAGAGACCACCCCCCCACTTCCCAAGCCATTGCATGCACAACCATTCAGCTTCTCTTCCTCTCTTCCTGCAACTGCTCCTCTGGGTGGTAGGCCAGGGACACAGGCCAGGAAATCACAGTCCTCGAAAGGAATTGGTCTGCATCCCTGCAGTGTAAAAGGACATGTGAATTACAACGCTCAGCCAGAAAAAGATGCACGAGGGCAGCCAGAAAGTGAACTTTGATGTGCCAAAAACGTTCGCTGCGTTTCCCTCCCTTCCAGACAGGGCCCAATTTTTAAGCCTTTGCTAGAACTTGTCATGGACCTAAATAGAACTTCAAAGGGAAAGTGAGAGGAGAGAGCAGCAGCTTCTGACCTCAGGAGGAGACAGGACAGATAAAGTTCCCCAGCGAAAGGCAATACACAATCATTGGAGGGGCAGAGGAATTGTTCAGAATCTGCTTTACCTGTCCCTCAACCCATACTGGGGCTTATGTGAATAACTCACTGGCAAAGAGAGGGAAAACCAGGATCTTTCTACTAATGTAAGCCCCAATTAGGATAAATCGTTTGCATGCTAAGAGCAGAGGTATCTATGTGTAGCTATAACCCCTCTGCAATAGTCTTTCGGTCAGTCCTCTATCGACAAAAGTGCCTGGGAGCCCCCTGTTAAAATTCCACCACTAAAAATAAAAATGGAGGTTAGTACAACTTCCTTACCTCATATGGAGCTCTCCCCTTCTCTAGATGCAGCTCAGTTATCGCTGCTGGAAACTAGTGATAGCCCTGGAGCTCATTAAGGTATTTCTGCAGAGCAACTTTTTCCTTGTGGTATGAACCAGTTTATACCTTGTGCCAGATACCAGGGGTTTTCAGAATGAAAAGATAAGGGATATACTCAGAGGCTTAGCCCTAACCCTTAAAAATACACACCTTAAATTGTATATTAAACCCTCACTGTACCAATATACCAGCTGGGTAAACAATTTGAAGCAATTTATCCAATAAATATAAGCCATTTTTCCCTCCTGTAAATTCTCTGTGGGCAGGTGGTGACATTAATTTGTTACTTACTCTCAACTGTGGAACAAGCCAAGGCAAACCCATGTTAAACCTATAGGATGTTTACAAAATAGACAGTGTGTGAGTTTATGTTCTTCTGGCCACCAGACTGGGCACTTAACAGTTCAAAGCAGAAAGAATCCTTTTTTTATCCTTAAAGATGATCTACAAATATTCATGGTTATTCAATACATCTGTTGTACAAAAAGCAATAAAATAGCTTTATAGGATAGCCACTAGATAAATTATTTATATTATTTGTAGCATCAAACCCTGGTGTATCAGGTACTGTATAAACACATAACAAAGAAAGAGTTCTTTCCTTCCTAAAATTTTATAATCTAAGACTCCAATCCTGCAAAGACTCATGCATTCACTGATCTTTAGGCACTGTGACTAGTATTAATGAAGTCAATGGAATAACACAAAGCAGGTAAAACACTTATTTAAGTCTGCATATTTACTATCTACTACATAGAGAGTAATCCTTTAGAACAGGAGCTGCTCTTTTTTTACTTGTTTGTACAATGAGGCCCTGAAATAATAAAGAAATCCTCTGAGATAAAGAAGAGCACATTGAGCCCACATACTCATTCCAGTACCCACACATGCAGTCTTTGTGGAAATCTCACTTTTTGCAAACATCACTGCAAATAAGCTCTTACTTGACCACATGTTCACAAATAAAAGGGGCTGTGACTGGCAGTGGAATGGATGAGCGGGAGAGACTGGCAAAACTATCAACAGATTTTCTGTTCAGTATAATTTACAGACAAAACCCAATAAACAAAACAATATTCTCAATGAAGTGAACTTCATTCTGGATTTGGTGCAAATGTTCTCATTCTTTAAAAGTTCCACACAAAAAAGCAAGTAAAAAATCCTCGTTCCCTCCCAAAAGAAACATATACAACAATAGAGCCAAAACCAAGTACTGCCTTTTTTACAAGTGCTGCTACCTCGTTTCTTGGTAGGTTTCTGACACATTTTGTTTTAAGTGACAGAATACATTCCAGTCTCAGAGTACCTTACTACAACCTGCCTGGGACCTGGTTTATTGTAAACTAAGGAAGAAATTATTTTAGGAGTCTTTTGTTGAAAGAATCCTGGCCCATCTTCCCCTGACGCTTGCAAATCTCTAACTGAAAATGGTTGTCATAAATTATATCCCAAACAAATTCTCTGCCAGCTTCTTGCAGTGTTTATACCCAGTGCTTTTTAAAATTCTCATAATTATGATTCCAATCTGCCCTATAAATCTAGCTACATTCTCGCCACTACTTGATTGAAATCCAAGAGGCAAGATCTGTCTCTGCTTCCCCTTCCTTTGCACACCAGATAAGTGCCATTCTTCCATCACCAGAATACACGGCTATGTGCCCTGCCAGCTGTGTTTACACTTACTGCCAAATTTAAGCTTAAGAAAATAGCCTGTCCTCTTGCATTCATCTTTTTCTTTTGCAACATTCAAGGGCTGTTCAGTTAAAGAAAACCCCCCAAAACCCAGAAGAGGACAAAACAATGCAGGTTTGGACTGTAGATAAAATATTGTTTTTAAGGGGAAGTAAAGGAAAATATTCACTTCTTCACTGCTGTCCTTGATTGAATCAGTGTTTTGAATTACAGGAGTAATAGGAATGCCATTATAATCCCTGTCTTTTGTCATCTTTTTGAAGAGATGTTGTACTGTAACGTAGCACCCTTGTTTGTTTGTTAATTCATTAGACAGGGGGACTGAAACCCAGAACATCTCAAAAAGACTGTATTTTATTCTTCTGTATTCGTCACCATTTCTTTTACTCGTGTAAGAAAACATTTTGCACCATACAGATTTATTTTTAGTTTTAATGCAAAGTAATAAAATAGTTTGTTTTGTCCACATTACAGGTATTTTTCCCTATCCACACCCTGAAATTCCTCCCAAACTATTTAACTTTAATTTTTCACAAAAGCACACAAAGGGTGAAAGAAGGAGACATCTTTAATGCAGCTTTCCTACAATTAAATACATCTCTTACTCCCCCCTCCAAAAAAACAAAAAAAGAAATACCACTAAAGTGACCAAACGACAGCAACACACAGACAAAGAGAAATATTAGAGGCAATTGAGATCAGTCGTCCATAACATGCCTTTCCTTCTGGTGTTCTCCAGTTGTTCCCCATAATGGCTGTCAGCTTTTTTTGTTTTGGTTTTGGTTTTGTTTCCCTCCTTTTTTTGAAGGGTTTCTTCTTTCACCATAAAATGTTTCTTGTAAAAAAAATTATATATATCCAATGCAAATGCTGTGCCAAACTCTGAGAAGTGCCACCTTGGGTTGTCATGTTTCTGGAGTTTGAACAGTTGTCCCTGGAACAGCTGCATTTCTATAAACCCAGGGCAGGTGGGCCAAGCTAGTCACTTGCCACTCATAACCACAGGCTGACAGATTTGACCAGTTTTGTTGACAGTCCCAAAATGTTAATGAATTAAAATGTCCTTTCCTTTTACAGTTCTATGATGTAAAGTAAAAATCCAGTTCAAAATTGCTCGATATCTCCCCACGCTGCTTTCAAGAAATAATTCTCATTGGCATAAAAAAAAATATTCACAACACCACCAAAAAAAAATGTCATCCTGGCCTTAAGAAGACCATCCATGACATTTGCCTGTTTTAAAACACAGTTCAGGGTGCAGAGTTAGTTTAAATAAAAGTCAGCGTCTTTGGCTCTCCTCTTCTAACAGAAGGAACCCCGGCTTCCACAAAAAGTCTGTGCTGTCCTTGCAATGCCAAGTAGTTTGAAGTTCCTTTGCTTTTCTCTCCCATGATCTTGGCTTTGAACATGTCTTTGCTTGGCATAGATGCTGAGTCGTGGTGGGCTGGTCTGCAGGGAAGGGGGAAGTGGGGCTCTCTCTGGGGATCTTTGAATCAGCAGATCAGCTCAGGAGGGATCCACCACAGAAGGCATAACGGCAAGCTGCAAACCAAGATCAGAAGCTGTTACAAACCGACTTGATTTCATCTGTGAATGTCACCAACTCTACTAGGCAGAGATATACAGGGAAGAGCCCAGGGGGAGAGGAGGTGAAGACAGCTCTAAAACCAGTACAGATCCTTGCTTTTATCCTGGGGCTGCAAACCTGAGAATGGAAAGAAAAAAAAAAGGAAGAAAAAAAGGTACAAGATATTTAAGGACAGAGAAAGACAAACACTGCTAGTTTCCTGTGAGAGCAGAGGGACTGAGTTCAAAAGCAAGGATTCCCAGAATGAAAAGAAATGGTGAAATAAGGAGAAAAACTCAAACAAAGCCAGGGAGAGGCACATGTTTTATCTAAAGCCAGGCCACAGCAGGACCCATTCCAGACAGTTGGTATAACCATTACCCTGGTACTGAGACTTGCTTCCCAGAGAGGACTTTCCTAGTTTTATGTGCTCGCTGAACTAGAAACCATGCCACTCAACTGTATCTGCTTAACCTTTCCCATGAAAACATAGCAGCTTAACCTTTCCTGTAGGCACCTGACCAGACAGAAAATAAAAGTCATCAGCTTCCTTGGAGGAGGAGAAAATGGGTGGCACTTTTATGGGAGCAAAAGCTTTGCCTTCAAACAGCTGCAAAAAGATTATTTGGTGGGGGGAGGTTACCCTTGACACCTTTTCGCTTAAACCTGACAGTCTCAGAACATGCCCAGCCTCCACGATCCTGGGGCAGGGAAACTAATTTGGCCCAGTGCAGTCACCATTTCACCTTGGGGCACCACCCCCATCACATCCTCCTCCTTAATCAGGGAAGGCAAGATCAGGGGCAGGTCCAATACATTTACCCCAGCCCCTGGACTGCCTGTCGTGCAAGGGGGGGGTGGGGGGTTCTCTCCCCTTTTCACCCCACCCAGTCACCTGCATCGGGCAAATCCAGAGAAGCAAACCCCGTTCTTTTCCTGGAAGGCAGCTGAGGGGTCCCTGATCACCATGCGGGAGGGGGAAGGAAGGTGGTGTGTGAGGGTGTGGGGATGGGAGTGGTGCTCTCGCACTCTTGCCAGCCCTTACCTGTGTCCACATTGAGGCTGATGCTCTGGGCCATATCCCCCGCGGGGCTGGGGAAGGGCGCAGGCGTGGTCCAGGCCGTCGGGGCAGCAGGCTCACCCTTGCCCAGCTCGCACTGGGGGCTTCCGGGGGCTGGCGTGAGCCGGGGAGGGCGTACAGAGGCAGTGGGCACCAGCAAGGAGCTGTAGCGGGGGTCAAAGTGGGGGCCATAGACGTCGTGGACTGCGGCAGGGCGTGGGTAAGCAGAGCCCTGTGTGCCCAGGTAAGGGTGGTGGTGGTGGTGGTGGTGGTGGTGGTGCGCTGGGTGCCATGGCTCAGTGCTGCCCTGGTGCAGGTGGCCGTGTAGGGCAGTGGGTGCGTAGGGGTCGGCTGAAGCGAAGGGCAGCTCACTGTGTGCAGTGGCCAGGGGACTGCCCAGGCTGCTGCTCAGTGAGGCGGATGCCTGGTAGGCGCTGTTCCAGAAGGAGGGTGGGAAGCTGCGCTGGCTCATCGGGAAGGAGCCATCTGTGGGTGGGAGATGACAGTCAGCAGCAGCCCCCCAAGGTGCATCCCCATAGAGACAACCCCCCAGTTCCCTCTCTAGCCTGCCCCATTGAACCCAAGGGATTAAGGCTGCTGGGCTTTTCTGTGTGCTTCTAGGGGAACCCCCCTACCCTTCCTCCTCTAGGTCTAGGGAGCCGGATTTCTCCAGATGGACATGGCCCAGACCCCTGCCTGCATTTGACATTGATCTCTGCCCCTTGCAACAGCAACACGAGAATCTGTCTTCTCCTTGTCCTGCCCAGAATCATATGCTCCCCACGAAGACATGGCACTAAGTCATCAGGGTCCCTTCTTGTGGGTGGGGCCATGGGGCTCTGGTCCCTAGAAGAGAGAGGGACATCCTGCTCATCTTTGCAAAGTGATAGACACCTCATTGTGGCCCGGACAGCTCTTCAGGTCAGGAGCTCTGTGCTTTAGGAGCCTGGGAAGCAGCAGGCAGGGTGGGATAAGGATTTTAAAGAGACCTGACTTCCACAGACCATAAGAGCTATCTATCATTTACTGAGACAGACACTGGGTCTCTTTTGGCATCTCCCTTTTTCCCTTTCAGCATGTACTTTCTGCTGCTATATGACACAGGACACTGGGCAAGATGGATCTATGGTAGACCCAGAAATTCTTAGGTTTTTATTTATGTCCATCTGTTATCCTGTCACACAGTGCATGTAGAGAGTGGGTGCTGGAAGGGAGAGTAACTGGGTATCACCAGGGGTTTTCCCTTGTTCCTCTCCCACTTGGAGTTTCCAGCACTCAAGGTCCAGGAAGTTCTGATTCAGAGGCTGTGCCCCTAAATCCCATGCTCAATAGCTACAGATGCCCCTTTCCTCCAAGAATTGGTCCAGTCTCTTTTAGCATGTGGCTAGACTGTCAGCTGTCTGACTGGGACATTTCTCAGACATATGCACTGGACAGGGCAGAAAGCGGCAGCCACAGGTACAGAGCCATCTCTGCACTCCCTCAGGGGAGGGAGATGCAGCACCTTCCCAGGCAGGAACACTTTCACCTCCTGCCATCAATTCCAGCTGGAACTATCTGTCACCCATGACATATTGCAACTAGTATCGCTTTCTTAGAGGTTCCTGGCAGACATAGGTGGAGGGTCTGGGAAATATTTAAGTACAGTCTTGGCTGGATGGGCAATGCCACAGAAGTCTTTAGACAGGGATACATCTGAATTCCCTGTGCTGGGAGCAGGGGACAGGCTGCTTGGGTGACAGTGGGTAAGTCACTGGTGATTTTTTCGGTATTGGATGGAGCCCAGAAGGGTTTGCCCCCGTCACCGGGGGGGGGGGGTGGGGGGGTGCTACTGTTGAGAGCCTACTGGTGTATCTTTTCCAAGACCCAGGGCCTGATACGAAACATTGATGATCCTGACTGAGACAGTGAGTTGGGCATGGACTAGATAACCAGGGAATGCGATCAGCTGAATTTCACAGGGGAGGGAAGGTTCCTTGGCACCCTCATTGGTTTGAAATCCCCCCTCCCATGGATGATTCTGCTGTACAGAGTCAGTGCCTATTGGAACCTCTCTCGCACAGATACCATCCATCTCGTTAACCTCCTGCAGGTCCCCACTGCCACATCTGCATTCCCAAGTACATCCTGTGTTAGGCAATGGCACATGTTTGCCCTCCCCCCTTTATACACTGGGTGAGGATTAGAGCCTCAGGATGGTCAGCGATGGGGAAGGGGGGGGTGCGTTATTATGAAGATTGAATAACTTTGTCAGTTAGTTATTTCTCCCCAGCTCAGGAAAAACTATAACAGTTACATACCTACAGCTAGACAAAGTGCTATATAATTTATTTGGGGGGATAGGGAAGGTTGTAAATACCCCCCCTCCCCCCGCCACATACACACACACACACACACACACACATGCACACCTTTTTTATATCCCTTATTAAAAATCCTATTACAAGCCAGAAGGTATCAATGATGAGACCTTCTGTTTTAAGTCCTAGAAATAAAATCAGAATCCTCCCCTCCCTTCCCTTAAATTTGCTCAGGCAGATAAGCCACAAAGCAGTTTCAGGACCATTGGTTCCCTTAGCATCATAGCAAATGAGGGTTGGAAGGGACCTCAAAGCAGGACCATCCCCAACTAGATCATCCCAGCCAAGGGCTGATCCTTAAAAGCCATCCTCTAAGGATGGAGATTCCCCAGCCTTCCCTACAGCTATTTCAACAAGGCAGCTTAATTAGTTTAATCTCTTTGAGGGGCAGGAGAGAATTTAGTGGTATCATAGCAGAAAACAGGGCAGCCCATTGCTTTGTTGTAAATACTCTCAGATGACCCAGAGCAGATGCATCCAGGCAGATCTTTAGGGATGCAGCTATGCCCATCTAGAATCACCAGCTTCTTTTTTAAAATACTCCTACTTGTAAGAGCCCAGGGCCTTTAGGGAACAACCATGTCTCAGCCAAGGCCTGGAGATGCACAAGAGCAGCTGCTGGCTCCCTTACCATCCCAAGCCTGGGGGGGAACAAATGCCATTTACAAGGTGGCTTTGCAGGGAGCTCTGGGTCTTGGCAAAATAATTCCTCCCTCCCAGCCTGATCTTTCCCTCCCCTTTGGTTTTTTATACCAAGGGCCTGGCTGGAAGGAGCTCTAGGTGCTCACCCCGCCATGAACTGGCGCTCCTGGAGGCCTTGGTGCTGCTGGGTGAGTAGCTGCTGGGCTGGCTCAGGGCTCGGCTGAAGTGCTCATCCACCACAGCACTGATGTCCCCTTGGAAGTAGGTGAAGAGCACGCAGCGGGAGTTGATGTACTCAGCCTCTGGGGGCCGCTCCTTCTCAGGGCTGGCATCTTCCTCCTTGATGCTGGCTGGGGGGGCATGGCTGGAGAAGGAGCTGCTGGCACTGCTGGTGCTGGCACTGCTGGTGCTCTCTGGGGCTTCCTGCATCTTGGAGTAAAAGGTGAGTTTCTGCCAGACAAGGAGAGAGAAGAGATCCAGTGAGGTCAGGCTGGCTGCCCGCTCCCTCCCCTGTCA